GATGAAACTATACAAGAGATTCCACTTGTTTCTCTAGAAGAAGCTGTCAAACCACTTGTTTCTATTTTACCTGGTATTCGTAAATATGTGCGTGTAGTCAAACAACGATGTCCGACACAACCAGCTGATGGATTAACAATTGATGAGTCTTCATCAATAATGCTCTATTCCTCAGCATGGAAAGCAATTGATAAAACTTTATATACTATTCTAAATGATGCACTGCGTTCAATAGATCGAACTAAACTTAAACCATGGTATCTCTATTTGAAACTTCTTCGTACTGCACTTTCTCATCTTCCAACAACATGTCGATCCGTTTTTCGTGGTATTAAACTAGATTTGCATAATGAATATCGTAAAGGTGAAAAGATTATTTGGTGGGGATTTTCTTCATGTACAAGTACAATCGATGTTTTACAATCAGAAACTTTCTTAGGAATCAATGGTCCACGAACAATGTTCACAATTGAATGTAATTCTGGTATAGATATCCGAAATCATTCTTTTTTTCCATCGGAGGATGAAATTCTTCTTATGGCTGCTACAAATTTCAAAATTATGGGTAATTGTAATCATGGGAATAATTTTCATACAGTTCAGTTAAAAGAAATTCAACCTACCAATCGTTATCAACATCTAAGGGCATTTCCTTCGGCATTAATGAAAATATTTTTACGTAAACAAATAAAATTATTTAAAAGAATTTTAATATGTCATTTTTTTAAAATTAGCTATTGAAACAGATCCATATGCACCTCCATCAATAGCAATGATGAATGAAATAACAAAATATAATATAAAACCAGGTATATCACCAAAATATTATCTGATCAAGAGATTAATATACTTTTTTTTGCAGAGAGAAAAATATCTAATCCGATTTTAAATCCATTCGATATTGGATCAAACAAAATAAATGATAATCTTGTAAAAAGTTTGAAAGAAATTGAGGCCGATGTAAGTATTTTAATAATTTTATTTTTTTATCAAATTTCTAAGAATTGCAGAACATCAATTCGATACAAAAGCCTCTATCGATAAATACTCATACAGTAAACAATGACGTTCGAACGTTTAGCAAAAAAATCTTTGGTGCTGTTAATCAAATAGTTTGTTATTTTTTTCACCACGTATCAAATTATTTAATATTATTTATTTTTAGTTTTCAATCAAGAAATCCAATGGAAAAGGTAAGATTTAAATCAGATTAGATGAGTAATAAGAAAAAAAGTTTTTTTACTATAAATTTGACGTTTTTTTTCGTTTGATTTGTGATAGAAAATGCTCCATCTGATATAAGTTTGCCATCATTACAAAAGAAAGTGAAACGTTGTGGTGGTAATGCTTGTTTAGAATGTGGAAAATGTAATGATTGGTATTATGATGGTGATATGAATTATGATTACGAACTTTTAAAACGTCAACATTGTCGTAATATCCTTCAAAGAAAACGTTGGTCATATACAAATGAAGAAGCATCATGTCGTCGTAATCTTCCTGAAATTAGTCATGGTCATGATGATGGAGTTCTTATTTTCATTCATGGTATTGATCTTGCTGTTTTTATTTCTCATATTTGTCAATGTAATCAATAGAATAGACTTTAATAATATAACTCATGAAAACGTTGTATGAATGAAAAGAAAATATTTAATCACAATCTTTGTAAAACTATTTATGTGAGAAAGATTTCATTCTCAAATACTTGCTTCATTACTAGAATAATTATCATCTACAAAATCGTTTTTCGAAAATTATATTTTTATGAACAAAATCCAATGAAAAATTCTAATATTCATTAAAATCATGTATTGATCATTAGTTGTTCTTATTAATTTTTTGTAGAAATTTTTTTCAATTAAATGATGAATAATACGAAACTCTTGTCAATAAATTATTTTTTTCATATTGAACAGATTTCATCTTTGATCATCAGTTATTTTCTTATGAGATAGATTGAATTATGTATAACTATTCGTATTACAATCTAATCATAATTTTATAATCAAAATCAACGATAGTTCGATTTGGATTTCTTCATGTTCAATACCATTGAAAATAAGTTTGAGTATAGTCCATGTTTTTATTAACCTTTTCACTCTAGACAATTATTTTAAAAAGTTCAAATTAATATTTAATTTTTCAAAGATATCACGCAACATATAATAGTCATTAAAATAATCCTACATCATATTGGATACATTCAATACAACGTATTCTTTTTTCATCTTGTTCATCGATTGACATTGAATGACTGTTGATGCATTTTCGTAAAGAAAAATTTCACCCTGTGAATTTTCATAAAACTTTTCGTATTTATTATACTTTCGTTTGGTCGATTGTTTCAATATTAAGTTAAAACCGTTATATTGGTTTCTAACTTAAATTTTATTGTTTTTAATTGAATATTTATTAGATTTAAAAATGGAAATTTCTTGTTTATTTTGTCTAATAGAACTTTAAATATACAATTCAATACATTGTTTTTCATATTTGGTAAAAAAAATAAAGAAGGAATTTTTGTGGTTAAATATGATTGATTGAAGGTGAACAGAATAAGATTTTCAAAATGTGTTATATATGATAAGACAATTTTATAGAATTATCCTTCGATTTTACAAGTTAAATTGTAGATAAAGTATTAAATGTTAGACAAATTTTCAACAATAAATTGTTAAAAACTAATTTAAAAAATGATTAATCGATATTTTCATTGTCTTTTTTATAAAAAATATATAGATAAATATTCTAGATATATTTTTACAAGAACTTGAAAATAATTTCAATACTGACAATTAATAAAAATAAATGATTTTCTTGACAAATTATATTTAAATAAAGATAAGGTAAAAATAATTTATTCTTATCAGATTGAATCTTGTTATTAATTTTACATATAAAAAATATAATTCATGATGAATATTTTCTAATAGGTTATATTTTATTTAACAGTTCTATACATATATTTATTTGTATAGTAAAACGTTTGTTACTTCATTTATTTTTTTCCTTTTCTTTTTTATTTTCATGTCGATTATTTTAACTTAATAATAAAATATTTTCATCTAGAAAAGAAGAAAAAGAAAAAAAGAATTGTAAAGATAAAGTACGTTGATTATTCATATGTCTTGTCGGAAGAAAAGAAAAAGAATGACGAATTGTTGTTTTAACCTCTACAGCGAAAATAATATTTTTAACGACAATAGAAAATCTCCTCCATTTCTCTTCTAATAATGGAGTCAAGTCAAGTTCATAAGAAAATTTCAATTATTTTGAATAAATTATTTGTAAATTAATCTAATTGATAATCTTATATATTTCTATATGTTAGGAATGACAACACAATCAAATACTCATTATGCATGTCGATATCAAACAGGTTAGTTAAAAAATTACTAAATATATTTATTGATTTTTAAAAATCAATTTAGACAAAACCTGGCTCGATCGTCAATATCATAAAAATGGATTAATATTAAAACCTGATGAACTTGCTAAAATAATGATAGATCCTCCGACTTATGAAGCTGATAATGATATTTTAGATCGTGTTCAAGGTTCAATGTTTGGAATGGCTTTAGGTGATGCTTTAGGTGCTTCTGTTGAATTTCGACCTCGTCAATATCTAGTTGAACATCCCGTAAAGGATTTACAAGGAGGAGGAACATGGGGTCTAGATAAAGGAAAGGTATTGTCTATTTATATTATTTTATAATTCTGTTACTTTTTTCATATTCAATATTATTAGTTTTAATAGTTACCGTTATGAAGGAAATAGAAAAGATTTAGAATTTGTAAATAATATTTATTTTAGTTTACTGATGATACATCAATGGCTCTTTGTCTTGCTAATTCATTAATAACTCGTCAAGATTTTGTTCCTTATGATCAATTAGTTCGTTATAAATGGTGGTATAAAGATGGTTATATGTCTTCGACAGGAAAATGTTTTGATATTGGTTCTGCTACAAAAAACTCGATAAATGAATTTGAACGTCGTCAACATGAGTTTTCTAAAAACCATAATATTCCTTTCGAACAAATCGATTATCTTACTGATCAAAGTTTTCTCACTGAGTTTGATGTGTATTGTAGTTCAAAAGGTGTTGCTGGTAATGGAGCTCTAATGCGACTTGCACCCGTTCCATTATTTTTTCATAGAAATCCACTTGAAGCTGTTGCTTTCTCTGGTTTCAGTGGAGTTATAAGTCATGGTGATCGAATTGCATTTGATGCATGTCGTTATTATGGTGCTTTAATTGTTGCTGCTATTCATGGTTTAAATAAAGATGAATTACTTGATAAAAACTTTTTTTTTAAATATGAACGTTTATTTAATAATATTCCATTACATCCAAATATTATGAAAATTGCTCAAGGATCTTATAAAGGAAAAAATGGTTATGATCAAGGTATTAGAGGAAAAGGATATATTGTTGATGCACTTGAAGCTGCTTTATGGGCATTTTATTTTCATGATACATTTGAAAAAGGTGTTCTTGCTGCTGTTAATCTTGGTGATGATACAGATACAACTGCAGCAATATATGGACAACTAGCTGGTGCTTATTATGGATACAAAAATTTGCCAGAAAAATGGTTGAAAGATTTATATGCTCCTAAATTTATTGAATGTGTAAGTAAATGGTTAATTTGTGAAGGAGAGCAATGGAGACCAGAAGGAATATATCCTTCAACTTTTCCTTCTTTAAACCCTCAATTACAATCAAATCAAACTAAGAACTCATCTATTGAAAACAAACGAAATATAAATGAACAATCAACACTTATTCAAACAGATAATATTTCACCGAAAGCTAAATTATTTTCTAAAATGTGGTCTACAAAATCAGATCTTCATCCTATTTCATCTAATCATAAATTACATTCAATCAAAGAAACAGAACAAATTTCTCATACTAATACAACTCAACTACCACTTTTTAATAGTCATGGTCCTGGACATTCTGATCAACAATCAAATAATTCCAGTCGACATCTATCACATGATAGAATGTCATTGTATTGTTCTATGCGTAAGATCGGAAGATTTTTCTGTAAAATATATTATAAGTTATTTATATTTTTGATTTCTTATTTTTAGCACATCATTTTCGTGAAAGATTACAATCATGTGATGATGTTTCTAACTGGTTAATATCATTGGGTGATGATTATAAAAATTATGCCAAAGCTTTTAAAGATGATTTTGTTGATGGATTTTGGCTTCTCAATTATATTAATGATGAAAATCTTCAAAATAAATATCACATTCAAAATGAATCACATAGAAAAAATATTCTTAAGAAAATTCAACAATTTAAAAGTTCGATTAACGTCAATTGATAATAAAATAAATACAAAAATATTTTCTTTTTCTTTTTTCTTTATTGAAATCTTAATATTAAAAATTCGAATTTTATCTTTTATATTTTAATAATTAGAAGAAATAATAAACAAGATTGATTAATAATTACAATAATCTATAGATTTTCTCTTATATCGATTATTAGAGGTTCTGCTATGGAGAACTTTTGTTACTTTTAAAATAAATAATGTACACATTTACAGTTACATTAGATCACACGCATAAGAGAAAAAATATGTATATGTCGCGTATTCAGCGCTGAGAAGAAAAAGAAATTGACATATGTTCGAATAATATTTTATTGAACGAAGAAAGAAAACATGTAAAGATAATAACTGTCATTTAAATATTCTAACACACTTTTCTATTTCTTTCTTTCAAGACATTCTCTCGTAATTTTTATAAAGTTTTTTATGAAAAATAATTCTAAAATAGATTTATTAATATAATTATTCTTTGAATTAATATTAACAAAATTTATTATTAAATCGAAATTATATTTTCAACATAAAAAGTTCAATTAACATTTGTTTAATAAGATTTTCTTTTGATTATTTTCAAATTCTAACTTAGAATATTTTTTTCTATCAGATAATATAATTTCGATTAAAGATGAAGAATTTTCATGTAAGAATCTATTCATTTCTATTTCAATTCGAATATATATTATAACACTATTTTATATCTTTTCATTAGATATTCATATTGATTATTTATGATAATCGCTATTTATTCTCCATATGAAAAACAAGTTTAATATAAAAAAGATAAAACAATTGATTATTTATTTGATTTTTTTTGAAATAGTTTTATTAAGATAAGATGCCTCGGACTCCAAAAGATTAATTAATGTCTTTTTAATACCTTCATTAGCTAAATCCATTCTGTGACCACATCGTTTCTGTTTTATATCATTTTCTGATGAACCACCTGCACAACAATGTCCCCAACAATCTGCTATTCGTGTAACAATACTATGAGAAGGTGTTAATCGATGAGTAAGATCAATAATATTAACCATAGTTGGAATTCCAACTTCATGAAATGATCGAATTGGATAAAATACACTTGTTAAATCAATAAAATCTCGAAAAAATCTTCTTGGAATATAATAAATATCAGACCATCTAAAAATCAAGAAAAAAAACACGTGCAGCAATTTTCAATTGAAGAAAATCAGTTACCCTCCACAAAAGACATCTTTATCTGTTATAAATCGATTTGAATAATTCTTTACAACATTAGCTGTCGCTTGTTTCGCAATATTATGATATCCATTGCCCCATGCCCACCAATCCCATCCTGCTGTATTTGTTACACATTTGAATGGAGGTAAAGCTGAATCAGGAAACCAAATATGATTAAAATTCATATTATCAAATCTGAATGGATTTATCCAAGCCTAAACAAATATTTATTTAAATAGTTTTAAATTAAAATTAATTTCGATTTCTAACATATACAATTCAAATACTTCACACCCATTCTGGGAAATCCTGTATTTTCTTTGAATAAACTTACGTCAAAATGAAAGTATAAAAGTCCTTCAATCATTGGATGATCTTTTAAAATAATTTCCATCGTATCACTAACTTCTTTATATATATAAAATGAATCTCCAGATCCATCAGCAGTGTAAGTCACTTTTGTTGCATGACCGGGTATTGAATAATGTAATTCAGCAAAAAAAGGTCGATATTTTTCCATAACTGGTATTCGTTCAAGACGAGCTGCATTCCATCGAATAAAACCAAGAGTTCGATAAAAAGGAGATTTTATTTTAACTTCTTTTACATCAGTTAAATTAACTTTGATCAAACTAGAATTTTCTAATTTAATACTAATAAAATTAATATGTATTCTTAAGTTTTCTCTGAAGATGAATACATAAATTAAACTAAGGAAAATAATAACGATTAGAAATTTCAGTAAATTTTTTCTATTTAAAAATGAACGACGTGTTTCATAAAATCCATTGTCAACTGATTGTAACGACATTATCGTTTGTAGAAATATTTTTTTTAATAAATTTTATCAGATTGATTATTTCATAATGGTTACATTACTTGAATATCGATTGATATAATAAAATATTTGAAATAAACAAATATATTAGAAATATATTTCATCTGAAAAATATTTGTCTAGAGTTAATATTATATATATTTCGTATGTTCTCCAAAAGCTTATTTTCTAATTGTAAATCTAAACATTTCAACTATTTTTCTTGACTAAATTTTGTCGAGGAAAAAACGAAAATTAAAGTCTTCGTTTTTTTTGAAAATAACGATGGACATATTTATTATCATAATTCAATAAAAACATTCTGTAAAGCGAAATCTTTCTCCAATGATTTCAATCATATATAGTAATAGAAGATGCATATTACGCAAACTTCAAATAAACATTTTTTTTGTGGTGTTTATAGGTCATTTCATACAGATTGAGCAATTGATCATGAATATCAACTGTTTTGCTTTATCGAATACTTTCTTTCAGTCAAAAAATACGAAAAAATTCAAGTAATTATTTTTCTTTTCAAGATATTTTTTTAGATTTACCATCAAAAACTAAATCGAAAAAAAAACATTCTTAAATTGACTCTAGACTCAAAACTCTATTGATGATGGCGCTTCTAAATGCGTTGAGTGCACTACGTATAGGCCAGTGTTGTAAACCTATCTGGTTTTTCCACATGAATGACGAAGCGAAATATTTTATCTCATTCTACTCACCACATACGACTCTTCAGCATCATGCTACGGGTCATTATTTTTTCTTTTTCTTCCTGTGTTGACAAGAATCGTTTTGATTGATAGAACAAGACAAGTGAGAAGGTCATGTCTAAATAAAAAAAGTACCCTTCATCAAAACTGACTCAAAAACTGTTCACATAAGTACAGTCTGATCATAAATAGAGTTGATACTATGTGGAAGTCTTATTAGAAGCTGTGAAAGATCACTAGAAAATCTCTTCTTTATCTATCTTTTTTTAAGATAACTTCATTTATACCTGAGATATATCAATCTGGTATGTCTAAACTAAACAAAAGCTGAAACAAAATACGTCAGCGCATCGATGGTGAAGTGCACTGGCTTCGTCTTCAAGTAAGTCCTCAAATAACAGACCAAAATCTCTCAAAAAATAATAAAATTAATGGCAGATTATCTTCTAAATTTCGTCGAATGAGATATTTCATGAAATTTATTCTGTTGCTGTTGATGTTCAATCGAAATATATTCTCAAGGTAAAACATTAGTTTAGTCACATTATAGAATAGAAAATACAAGGTTGCTAGTTTCTGATCACCAAATTTATTTTTAATTAAACTAACCATGATAAATAGAAAGAAACACATTATTGAGGGTGTGGATGTGGGCAGAGTCCGCGCGAAGGGTCTAACATTGGGGAAAGCGTGTAAAAGGGTGTTTAGAGCAAAACTTGCTAAAAAAAACACAAAATTTGTTCTAAATCAACTCTCGTCGTTGAAAAAAAAACATTTTCAGTCATTGGGCGGGGAGGGCGGTAAGTGTACGCTCCGCCGACATTCACACCCGCCTACGTTCACATCTACACTCACCGATACTCTCAATAATGTGTTTCTTTTTATTTATCATCATTGATTTAATTAACCCTTTGGCTGCGGGTGACCCCGTATGATGTTATAGTGATTTTCTCGTATTTTGAAACATATAGATTCCTATGCGATATCAGTTTTGCTGAAAGCATTTATCAGAGACTTTTTTTTATAGAATTTGAGTTATAATTAAATTATTTTATTCTAATAATCAGTAATGGATAATAAATATACCAACTGACTTTCACAAAAAAATACTAAAACAAAATACGAATGTGTGCAGTGTAATGTCGATCTTTGCGTTGTACCTTATTTTGAACTGTATCACACTTTGAAAAACTTCTAAGCATTCATATTTATAAGGATTTTTGATAAATTAGAACTACAGATTAATTTATGATTAAATAAATAACAAAAAAGAATTCTTAAGTTCCTTAAAAAAACCCGCAGCCAAAGAGTTAAAAATAAATTTGGTGATCAAAACACATTTTTTCCTAAAATAAAACTGTAGAGGAACTCTAATTAAAAGTTTTTTTTCAGTTACACTATTTCTATTTTACATGTTTACGTTTACATTATAGAGTCAACCGCATAAAATAATGAGAAATGATGAAAAAGCAATCAGTTTGTTTATGAAAGATAATAAAATATTAATTAGAAATTGTAAACTCTACTAGTTCGGAGAAAAAGTTTCTAGAGATCCTTGAAAAACTTTTTCGAGACCTCCAAAGTGCTTGGATTCTATTTATAATCAGATTTCACTTATGCAGACAATTTTTACCTCGGTTTGAATAAAAAAAGATCATTTTATTTAGAAATTAATTCTCCATTACCCTATTATATTAATAAACGCGATTTTTGTCAACACAGAAAGAAGAAGAAGAAAAAGAAGAAATAATGGTCCATAGCTTGTTCATAGGGAGTCGTATGTGGTAAGCAGAATGAGATATAATATTTCGCTTGGTCACTCATGTGAAAAAGTCAGATAGGTCTACAAAATTGACCTATACGTAATACACTCAACGCATTTAGACGCGCCATCATCAACATAGTTTTGACTCTCGCGTACATTTAAGAACCTTTTTTTTATTTAGTTTTTGATGATGAATCTAAAAAAATAGAAGGAAGTAGAAAAAAAACGAGTTGCTTAAAGCTTTCCGTCTTTTTTGGCTGAAAGAAAATGGTTGATATTCATGGTTAGCGACTCAAATTCTATCGAATGATTTATAAAAATTGAGAAAAAAAATATTTGTTTGATTTTTACATTGCCAACACTTTATATTAGTCTACATATATATAAAGTTGAAACTAAGTCAAATTAGTCATACCTATTTTATCCTAACTTTGTAAATAAAAAACTCAATTAGAAAAACTAAATTATTTCTTCGAGTCTTTTTGAA